TTTGGGGGAGAGGTGGTAGGAAGCAGCCCTGTCATTTTGTCTTCTAGTTTGTGGGTGTTTTGTGAGATTTTTCTCAAAACTCCAAAAGGTCCATGGACCCTTTTGCTCATTTTTTTCTCCCCAACCGTACTTTCCAACTGAACTAAATTAAAGAATGGAGATTACAACAAAACGCAAAGCAAAAGGCCTCAAACCAGGAGTCTCCAGCTTCTAATTTAAAAAACAAATGCCTTGGAAAGAAAGCTAAGATAAGCCTTTTTCTTCACAAGGGGCCCAACTTTTCGTTTTTAAACATTATTTTCAGTCTGAGAGCTGCACACTGGAGGAAAGAGAGCCACTGAGAGGGTGATATCACCAGAAATTTGTGAGGGTGAACATTCTGACCTCTATTTTTAGACAGTTGTGGGAAGGTTGTGGAAAACAGGTGTAGGAAGTTTTGCATATCGACTCATTCGCAAGCAGAAGAATTCTTCAGAGCAGTTGTGCCCAACTTACACTTTGGATCAGGACCTATTTTGTATGGGGGTTGGCATTTGGGTGGGCAAGAGTGAAGGCAGCAGAAGGCAATGCTTTGGAATTTTACAGAAGAAGCAGTCAAGAAATTTACCTCAGAGTTGCACGTGGTAAAGCAGCTATGAATGCCTCGGAGGAGATATTCAAATCTATGGTGTATGATCTATGACACATCTATGTCTACAAAGATCTGGCTCATGAAAGTCAGGATATTGCCTGTGAGGCTCTATGGGAGCCAACGAGTGAAAAAGGAGAATAGGAAGATTGAGGCTTTTGAACATTGATGTTGGAGAAGATCCTGAGAATAATATGGACAACCAAGAAAACAAACCAATGGGTCCTCAAATATATCAACCCAGAACTCTAACTTGAAGCACAGATGACCAGGCCCAAAATATCCATAATGTAAGGAGGATGGACTCAATTTACAGTAGCAATGTTGGAAAATCCAAAAGACCAGACTAGGGAGAGACCATCACAGAGCAAAATCTATCTATGGGGTTAATTAAAAACAACTTGTTGGCCCACAATCTATCAGCCAGTCAATTAAACTGTAAAACGATGGGGTGAATTGATGCATTTTATTCAAGGAGGTAAAAACCAAGTAATGCTAAGAATTTTCTTGCTATTTTAGAATGTCCAGTATTGCAGGCTGACTCTGCCCACAGTCTGGAGTTCGATCCTGACCGGCTCAAGCTTGATTCGGCCTTCTGTCCTTCCGAGGTCGGTAAAATGAGGACCCAGATTGTTGGGAACAATATGCTGACTCTGTAAACCACTCAGAGAGGGCTGTAAAGCACTGGGAAGCGGTATATAAGTCTAAATGCTATTGCTATAAAAATAGAGAGAAAAAATTCATGTTTGTATAGGATGCAGCAGTGAGTAGTTTGGGAATGAGGTCACTATGATGAGCATTCACTCCCCAAAGTTCCTGGTTATACTAACTACAGTCTCTGTCGCCCTTTTCTTCCATTCTTAAAAAGATTGCTATTTTTAAAAAGTGCACCTACGGTAATTGAATGTTTTCATCAACCACTTTCTACGCCATTTTAAAAGCCTTGCAGGATGAGTTTGGGGTCCAGGACAGTAAAAGCTCAAAGCAAGCAGGAAGCCGCAACATATGGCAGTAAGGGTATGGAAAATGTGGTTTTTCAAGAAAAAGAGACAAAAATCACTCATGCAACAAACAGCTTTCTTTTATTAGGAAGTGAAAGTGAGCGTTTGCATATAAATAAATTTGGCCATCTCACCTGGTGCTGTTTTTTTTTTTAAATGGGGAATTCCACTACCAATTTATCACTGTTTATATATACAGTATATGGGGGGGGTATATAAATCACATTATATTCTGTAATATGATCAAAAGAAGGAAGTATTAATGTCCATAGCAAAAACCTATCGTATTTGCTATTAGTTTTTAATGAAACGAAATGATATTTAATTAACATTCTGCCCCTAAAAAATAGAAATCTTTTATGTTTAGATATCAGAACCATAAGAAATTCAATATGGGTTATATTATTACATTGTTGCAGAGAAAACTCAGCTGAAATACAGATTGGTTTTGCAATTTTTAGTCTGTAATAGTTTCCTGTATTAAACCTGTAGGCTGCCCAATTCCTAATAACCCTGAATGGCCTACCCTACGACTATCAAATTACAGTAAAATAAAATAAAAGGTAAAAATTCTTAGCCTTTTCGATACAAATAAGGATACTGCATGTTTAATCAGAGGCTGATAGAACGGATTCCTGCATTTCTACATGAATCCACCTTTTACACATTAAAATATAACCTGGAATCTTCTACAGGGCACACCTGAGATGGCAATGCACAGGAAAGAAGCCCAGGTTTGCTTAAAAGTGGTTTACTAAATAGCTCACAGCTACTGGCTTCCCAAAACACATTTAAAGACCATGAATTAGGTTTTGGCTTATGTGTTGTGCAAATGCAGTCTAGAAGAAGCTGCCTCACCTCCTACTAACCCAGGCTATTTTGGACCGGCAATAATACATCATAAATCTAAGCTGAATTCGTCTTCTTCTTCTTTGTTTTAAATCAGATTAATTTGGATAGGTGCATAATAACACAGCCGCTAGTAAAGTACCAAAATGGTTGATACGTTTCTCCCAGGGGGAAAAGAGGACAGCAAGGGCAGAAACTAAGGGAGAATTGCAAACACCAATTCATGCAAAAATAGGCAACAGAATCACAAGCCCTCTCTCCCTGCAGCAGGAACAGCAATAGCACTTAGACTTATATACCGCTTCACAGTGCTTTACAGCCCTCTCTAAGCAGTTTACAGAGTCAGTACATTGACCTCCAACAATCCGGGTCCTCATTTTACCGACCTCGGAAGGATGGAAAGCTGAGTCAACCTTGAGCTGGTCAGGATCGAACTGCTGGCAATGGGCAGAGTTAACCTGCAATATTGCATTCTAAACCACTGCACCACCATGGAAGCATTATGATGTGATGATTTATGTCCCTGCTGTTAGGCTATACTACAGGGGCAGGTTTCTATGGGAAAACTTACTCCCTTTCTCCTTTTGAACTTGGCTGAACAGTGAGTTCTTTAAAAAAAAATATAGGGCTGTGTTCTGCCAAGGTGGCAATGCCCTCATCTTTAACGTAAAACCATTATTTATCTGCTTAACTGTGGTATTGCTCCATACAGGATGTCCTTGGTGCTCTACCCCATGCAGTGATGCTGGGACAACTGTTAGCTTTTTACATGAGGCTTTTAACTGTTCAAGGTACAGTGGGTAAAACTCACATATTACCCCAAGGCTTCTCTCAGGGAAAGCTAGCCAATTTTATCGTGCTGACAGGGGACTAAAAAACAGCTAGATAAGCAGCCGCAACTATGCAATCCAAGTCCCCGTAGTAGAGACTATTTGTAGCTCAGGGTGGAACTGTGGGGTCCTTGGTGCTCTCTGAGCTTGGCTGCTTTCTTGCAGACGTTTCATTACCCAACTAGGTAACAGCATCAGTGCCAAAAGTCAGGTTTGCTCTCTGTTTATCTGTCTGAGAGTGGGGTTTACTCTCTGTTCGTCTGTCATTCTTTTTACATGCGTTTTTAACAGCCTCCCTGCAAGCACCAATTTAACTTCAGTATAACCTCCAGCCCCATTTTTATGCTTCGGCCCTGAACCTCAAGGAGGATGCAGAAGTTTAAGAAGAACATTGTAAACTTGGGAGATGCAATGTTTTCTTTCTTTCTTTCTTTTTTTACAATCAGATCAATAAAATAGGCACGTTAAGCTTCCGGGAGATTCCATACATCTATTTTCTACTTCTCCACAAACGTCTAAAAATAAAGAAAAGGCCCAAACGTTCAATTTTATTCACTCTGGTGACACCACCATCCTTGCCCCACGCTATGGCTCTCAGACTGAAAATAATGTAATAAAATGAAATGTGTAGAGTCCCTTTGGAAGAAAAAAAATGTTATTTAATCCTGGTTTGTACAAATCTATCCTTGTTTTCTACACTAACCTAGTTTTGGGGGTTGTCTTTTGTATCCTGGAATGAATCTTCTTGGGTTTTTTCCTAGGAATGGCAGAATTTGCTTGCCCCAGTGATAGCATTGCTAACTCGTGATTAACTGAAGCATTGTTTTTCCTCATTGACCCAATTTAGTGGGTTTGCATTATGCACTGCCCAATAAACTGAAAGCACATGAACTGCGTTCGAAGAGTAGTTAAGCTAGCGTTAAGATTCACTCTTTTGCATTCAGTGTGTTGCACAAATCTTCCTGTCTTTCTTTGTGTTTTGTTTTTAAAGGATCACTTCCTCGACATGTTAAAGGCTTAGCTAGATACCAAATTTTCTTCATGCTTTTTCCATGTGCCAGTTTTCTTACAAGGTAATTCACACAGTGTATCACACCAAATAAGGGAGCATCTTAATTACATCGGTACTCTGTAAGTGTGGTCTATTTTTCGCCCTGTACAATGGGAAATGCTCTCATATTTGTTGACAGAGCCTACAGGAGGGGAGGATTTAAAGGCATTTTTAGCGAAATGTGAGGGAAATAATGAAACAAGAGTCGTTTGGGGGTACTTTCCCCCCTAATTCTCATTTTGGAATCAGACTTCAGCATATAAAATGAGGTGGTCTAAATATTTGTTTCCTTAGAAGGCTAGCAGCTGAAGTGTAAAACAGAAATATAACTCTTCCTCGACTTACGACTGCAGTTGAGACTGAAACTTTGGTCACTAAGTCATGCAGTTGCTAAGTGAGTTGCACCCAATTTTATGTCCTTTTTAAGCAAGTCACCATGGTCGTTAAGCAAATCTAGTTTCTCCTATTGACTTTGCTTGCTGAGGAATAGGTGCGCACTGCAAAGTTTTACAAAAAGGATACACGGTCAAGAGCGCATGAAGGACAGCATTCTAATGCATTACATTAATTCAAAGGGAGCTTACACGTATTCGTTCATATGATCACTACTGCAGAGGAAAAGATCAAGGGAAGCTACTTACCCGGGCAGCATAGGATATCCCTTTCTCCAAACTGGATTCACCCTTTTGTCCAAGATCTTTGCCTGGCTTGGATAGGAAGCCAGAGTCTCCCACGGCTAACAAAACACAGTTCTCTTGGGTGTTTGGGCTTGACTTGAATGCCTTGTCTGGCTCTCCCTGGGAATAAGCAGAAGACAAGGAGCAGCTTAAGCCGATTTCTGGCACGGTTCGGCTGGCCTGGACAGTGACGCATTCGGTGAGTTTAAACCTTGGCACCTCTTTCGTTCGTAGGCAGAAGTTCTTCAAGGTTGGCAAGGTGGAAGGGTTGGCCAGCTTAACGTTGGCCATGCGGGGTACCAAGGTACACAGAGAAATGGAGCTGTCCGAGGTACCAATTGGGACATCTTCAGTGAGTGTCTTAGAAGTAGTGGAAGAAGAAGCTGAAGAAGACTTCAGGCGGAGAAGATCACTCGACGACGACGTGTCTTCTTCCAGTGAGGTGAGGGACTCATTTCTAAAACGACTATATTTAGTCCTGTGGAGCATTCCTAGTTCTCTTAAGAATTCTACATCCAGTAGTTGTGCACTCAAGCAATAGAGAATAGGTTCTCTCATAGCCTGCAAAGTTTTGTAACTCAATCTCCTCGTCCCCCACCCTTAACTTAGCTGCTTTCTTATGAATGACCAAAAAAAATAGGGAACCAGACAGATCAAAATAATTTTGAATAGAAAAAATAAGAAAACAGGGTTTCTGGTCTCTGTGGATGCTCTCAAAACATCTCCGGAATGTTTCTTCTTCTTCATAAACCCTGTTTCAGTTTGCCTGGTCATTTGGTTGTCTGAAATGAAATCCAAGTGAAAGACCTATGAAGCCCATATCCCAAAGCTACGTCTGCTTAATCTGAACAGCTACCATAATTTCAAAGCAAGCAAACTTCAAATTCTTCTCAGTTTTCAACACTCAATGTCTTGATTCTGTGTAGGATTAATGTTAAAGACCCGCCTACATTAAAAAATAATAATAAATGAAGTATTTAGGACAAAGACACCACAAGAAACCTAAAAACTCTTTCTTGAAAAACAACAGCAAGGTATTTTTTTTTTTAGAAGAAAGTTGCCTTCTTCCAAGTCAATTAACAATGACTTGATCAGTTGAGGTGGGAAAAAAGCACTTCTCTGAAATTAAAATAAAATCCGACAAAGGCAGCCTGAAGCAAAAAAAAAAAAAAGTCCAGGTTAACGTGTTCTATGAACGAAGCTCAGCTTCTGTCTGCAAAAACCTTGCTCGTCCTTAAAGACCCCTCAGTAGCATAGTGATCCTCAAATACTCTGCGTAGATTGAGGTTCTGGCACAGCAGAACTTCAGATCTTCAGAAGAACCATCAGTCAATGGAAGCCTTGTCCATCATTCTTGGGAGCCGTCGCCTTAGCATTTTTCCACCTCCAGCTCAGGATGACCGATTTCTTGGAAACGTTACAGAAAGAACGTTGCTTTTCTTCATCTTCTTCTTCTTCTTTTTCTTTTTTTATGAATGAAGTTTTCTGAATGGACCTCACTGTGTGCAAGCTAAATAAATCTGTGAATGAAGCTGAGGATGGCTGTAACTGACTGGCAGTCCCAGGGGTGTTTAGTCTGCAGCCAATCGGAAGGGAGCCTGATGACTCACGCACCATAAATACACTAAACTAGTAGCCATCCAAAATGTGACTTTTGGCAAAGGGGTAGTAGCTTTCACTGTTCACCTCTCTCTCTCTCTCTCTCTCTCTCTCTCTCTCTCTCTCTCTCTCTCTCTCTCTCTCTCTCTCTCTCTCTCTCTCTCTCTCTCTCTCTCTCTCTCTCTCTCTCTCTCTCTCTCTCTCTCTCTCTCTCTCTCTCTCTCTCTCTCTCTCTCTCTCTCTCTCTCTCTCTCTCTCTAACTCTCTCTCTCTCTCTCTCTCTCTCTCTCTCAGAAGAAAGGTGGAGAGCATGTGGTTTCTGCAATGCAGCAGCAGGAGCGTAGCATAAAGAAAAGGCATTAATTCATAGGATATAAAGCCCTGGGGGAAAAAGAATGATGATCTGGGGTTGTTGTTTTTTCCTGTTTCTTTTTTCTTTCTTTAAGAAACAGAGCTCTTTTCTATTGACTTTCCGTTCCATCTATAATGGCACTTCCTGCGCCGATCACATTTACTGGGAAGGCAGATGAGAAGAAACGGGCAACGCAGGAAGCCCCGGAACCTGAGCAGGCAATTCAATAAGTACATCACATCCTCAAGAAACTGCAAGCCATCACAGGCATTAAGGAAGGAAGATGAAAGTGCATCTAGGGAGAAGAGAGGGGAAGGGGTAGGGTGAGATGGGGAGGGGGGGAAAGGGGGTGGAATCCTGCAGCTTTATTTGCTGGGTTCGTTAGCATTGTTTTGTATTTTCAAAAAGGGCTCTGTTTGGAGTGAGCTCAAAGCTGGAAGGGGTATATAATAACAGGAAGAGACAGGAAGATTGAGACTGCTCCAAACATCCAATCCTCTCCATGTAGGTCGCCCGAGCTGGTGGAAGGTGTCTCTTCCCCCAGCCTCTGTCACCTTCTGTCTTCAAATCTAAAAATAGGAAAAGACGCTGGACTTGGGATCTTTCCCAGCAAAAGAGATGCTGCAGCCTCCCCTTGCAACACGCAGAGGGATTTATTCTGAAGAAGCAACGGCCCTTAAGCTTTTCTCCATCCGAAACCCGGTTTAGTCCTTAGTAATTTCTGAAAATCTTCTTGGGGCGGGGGGAGGGGGGGAACCATGTTCTCAATTTTAGACTGGTTTTAGCATTATTCTTTTTTTTTTTCCCTCTCCTGGATGTTGTACTATCTTTGGATTGATTCTGATTCACCCCACTGCCTCTTTCTTTCTCTCTGCTGTTGTCTGTGTGAGGTCTCAGAGGCAAATCAGCCTCAACCTAGCGCTTACACAGAGAATAATAACAATAATAATAATAATAATAGTAAAGTTGGAAGGGACCTTGAAGGTCATCTAGTCCAACCTCCTGCTCAGGCAGGAAACCCTATACCATTTCGGACAAATGGCTGTCCAGTTTCTTCTTAAAAACTTCCAGTGTTGGAGCATTCACCGCTTCTGGAGGCAGGTTGTTCCACTGGTTAATTGTTCTCACTGTCAGAAAGTTTCTCCTTAGTTCTAGGTTGCTTCTCTCCTTGATTAGTTTCCACCCATTGCTTCTTGTCCTGCCTCCAGGCACTTTGGAAGATGGTGTACATTCTGGGTTAGTGAGCAGCTCGCACGAAACTCATTCCTACTTCTCTGCCTTCCGTCGTGTTTTCGACACCACAGGGGCCATACTGATCACAAGAGGTACATTCACTTTTCTCATGGGAAAGCACACTCAAGCCACACAAAAAGCACCATTGTTTGCAGCGTACCCACAACACTGAACGCTATTTAACACGATGGTTAATCCTGCTCTACGAAGCTTCACATGATCCCAGAAAACCCCATCTGGGCTCTTCCTGAAGGCATGCCTCGCTAGGCAGCAATTTCTTCTGCTAAAAAGTCTCCTTTTCTCCTCTTTCCAGTGATGCAGGCAAGCAAGGGAAAGGAGAAGCATCAAAGGAAAAGCTCACCTACCTAGAGGCACCAGTGAGTGGGCT